TATTTATTTTGTTATTGTTGAGAATATACACAGCAGAACCTCTAACTTTTAGGTTAGCAGCTGAACACGTTAATCGTTTGCATTACACAGGGACTACGATGATCCTTTACGGTCTCTAAAATTCATTGTTTCTAAGCTGATTTAGTGAGGAAAATATAACAGATTCCTAACTAAGGTTTAAATACAAGCACATTATAATATTTCATAAATTCATAAAATTAGAGTAACAGAGACTTGCAGAAAATATAAAATACACAAAAAAATTGCAGAAAAAGGGAAAATCTTCATAGTGGCAGATATTTTTCATAAAGTAAGTAAAGTGCATTTGCTATATTATGTTTATCGAGTCCTATACAATCAAGTCATCGGAATGTTGCAATAATCACTAGGATAAATTCGGAGCATTTCCAAGCACATTAGAACTAGGATAAACCAGTTGTTGCTGAGTCGATTCCAACTCATGGTGACCCCATGTGTGTCAGAATACAGTGTGTCAGAATAGAGCTGTGCTCCATAGGGTTTTCAATGGTTGATTTTTTGGAAGTAGGTCTCTAGGCCTTTCTTCCAAGGTACCTCTGGGCAGACTTGAACCTCCAACCTTTTGGTTACCCACCGAGCATGTTAATCGTTTGTACCAGCTGGAGACTCCAAGGCTATGCTAGGACACTTTAAAAAAATTTATACGACAAGAAATGGCCTTTCCTCTGGGTTTGTTGGGAGACGGATGTCCATCTCTGACCAACTCCTTACACTCCTGAGAAGGCAGCGGGGAATGCTGCTGTGATCTCCAAGAAGCAGAGAAGGGGACACCAGCGTTGGTTGAGCCATGGGCATTACTCCTTTCTAACCTGGTTCATTCTTTACCCAGAGGGAGAAGAGCAAATGCCGTCAGGGATGGAAAGTAACTTTGTAAAGCCTAGAAGACCCCTTCCAGAGGACCCAGAGGAAGCCCACCTGCTCTATGTGCATGTTCTCCAGGAGAGCACTGTGGGGCTGCAGGATCGGCAGCACCTCCTCCTCCTCGTCATCATAGTAGCTGCACGTGCTCTTCCTGCGCTTTGCCTCCTCAACAGTGATGATCTGAAATGCAGCAACCAACCAACCAAGACAAATGATGTATTAGTTTCTCCTCAGACTGCTACAAACTACCTCAGGTACACAACTGCCTGTAAAATGTGGTGCACTGGTTCCACAGGACATAAATTGAAATGGCACTTTGGGGAAAAAGCTAATTTTTCAATTTCAGAACAAATGCAGAATTTAAAACAGTACAGCCGAGGCATTTAATATTTAATATATACAAATTAAAGTCACAAGTTTTTTTATTTTAGTATCATTGCCATTTGCTCAGTCACTGAGTGAGAATTATGTATAATTCTACAACCAGCATGGTGGTGTTATGTGCCATCAGGTCGATTCCAGCTCATCTCTGAAATGCTCTAAATTATTCTCCTTTAGCCTGCATCTAAGTTTGAATTGTTAAGGTACTAATCGGAGCTCATTCAGTAAGTCTTCTAGAAACAGACAGTTGAGGAGGATAAAGATAGTTTCTTAGTCAAAGTTCTAATGTTTTCTCTCAAAGCTGTGACGTAGCAACCAACACCGACAGAAACAACGAATGGTAACAACACTACCAGGAACAACACAACAAAGAGGCACGAAGGTCTAATCTAAATTCCAACTAAGTTATGATTTTTTATGTACAGTTCAGAAATGATCAAAGTATTCTTTCCTTCTAGGCTGAGAAATATTATGATGTACACATTTATTATTTTGCAGCTATGCTTATGAATTACCAAAGTCCATTTCACCTTAAAATTCATCTTTCGTCCCTCCTAAAGTCTGTATAAATCACTAAGTTATTCTGAAATTGAGGGATATATTAGGCAACTAATTCACCGAAATTCCTTGGTACCCGTATTAATGCAATTAATGTAACATTTAAGTTACATCTAGTGAAAGCTGTCCGATAATGCACTATTCAAGTTCTAAAATGCACAGCAACAGATATAAAGTACATGCCATAGTCTGAGCCAAACTTACAGGTAAGGAAATCAGCTTATAAATCTTACTATCGCCTCAAGGAGTATTTACCTAAAGAAAACACTGTCAAAGAATCACAAATCGAGCACTTTAAATGTATTAAGTAAAGCACTATACTTTTGGTGAACTCAGCATTTACCACAGGTACAATAAAATGAGGCTATGAAATAAAAAAGAAAAAAAAATTAAATAGGATTTCTGACTCCAAAGGGAAAGGGCAAACCACACCAAACTGTTGTTGCTGTTAACTGCTGTTGAGCAGACCCCTCAACCATACACATCTCCAAAAGGAATAAAAGATCTGCTCCAGCTGAAGTGTCAGCACAATCCTTTCTAATTAGAAGGCATTTCAAGACCTACTGAATGGAAGATAACTGAGGATTCACCAGCCCCTCATCATCTCTCAGGGACTTAATTCCACATACCTTCACAAAAGGCTCTTGGTCAGGTCTGGCACAATAGAAAATCTGAATGTCCACAGGCAGTCTTCGAACTCTCATTGTGACCAGTGTGGACTGTCTGCGTGCTCTCTAATGAGGAACAGGCTTCCTCTGTATCTGCATCCACACCACATATACTTGTGGCCACACAGAGCTACAACTGTTCTTGCTTTATCTAGTTTCCTGCGTGATTTGAGTTTCTATTTCCCTTAGGAGAGGGTTTAACATTTCTACAGGAACACATCCAAATTAGGACTTAGAGCAAACACACACTTCCTGTCAGGCATAGCTGTGAGACTGTAAAATAACTTTCACCTTTGAAATGGTGGTTTCCTAACAGCCTAAGAAAAACAAAACCCTATTGTTTTTCTTTGATTTTTTTTTTTCCTTTTTCTTCTTATACTTTTCTTAACGGTCCTGAGGCTCACCTACCTTTTTAGCTCTGCTTTTCAGAGTTTTTTTTCATCACCTTCTCTGAGAATAAACGTTATGCATATTCCCTGAAGTTTGATTCTCAAAGGAAGAATGAAAAGCAGAAAAGGTCAAAATTGTAGAAGTGAAAAGGAACCTTTAAACGTGTAGGTTCATTACAGTTAGAACAACAGCATTTCACTTCAGTACCAAGTCATTTTGTTTGATATGAAGAATTAAAAGAATGGGAGAACGTCTGGTTTCTGTGAGAGAGGAAGATGCCACTTTAGTTGGAAGGCAGCTTTATAAAATAGCAGGCAAAGTAATGATCACCTTTCTACATTTTAGAAAATTAGTCTTAATAACTGACGAACCTGGTGAGTCCTCCTCTACTCCCCAGACTGGATGTCAGGGGATTGGAAAGAAATGTAGATCCCCATTGGATCAATTTTCAATGACTTCTCTATGTCTTTTCCGGATGTGAAATGACTATCTGATCTTGCGGACTGCTGCAGGGTTTAGAGTGTGGCTGCATGGCTCATCCTGGGGCTCAATTATAAAGCGAACTCTGGCAGACCCTTAGTGACCAGTCCAGGCCTGCCAGAGTTCACTCTCAGTGCAAGAGCCTGCACATGACCTGGGACAGAACCACCCGGATTTTGTGCCAGCGAGACAGTACTTTTTCTTCAGGACCTGGCACTTCATGGCAGCTAACATTTATCCAGTGCTTCCTAAGCTGCTGAGTGTCAGGTGTTGTGCCAGGCATGGGGGACCCAAAGCAACCCGCAGCCCTCAGTGGTGGTGGTGTTGGTGTGGGGCTGAGGGGAGAGAGTAGAAAGAGGCATTTATAAACAAATGATGAATGTCATTCCTTGTGATACAAATGCTAAATGCTAAATGTGATACAAACGCAAAAAACTAAAAGCTCAAAGGACGTTGGGTCTACCTCCTTTGGGGAATTCTGAGTGGCTAATTCATAGAGGTGGTGGTGCTTCAGTCTGAGAGCGGAGGGTGGAGTGTGTGTGTGGCGGGGGTGGTGCCAGGTGGAGGGCGTAGCAGAAACACGGAGATATGACACAACATGCTGGTTTCAGGGAAGAGCTTCCAGGTTCACTATGCCTGGAGAAGGGAGAGCAAGGGACGTAGAGATGAGAGAGGTGGATGAGGCTGGGGAGGGAGCAAGACCTAAGACAATGAAGAACCTTGATGCCATGAATAGGCTTACAATTGATCCTTAAAGGCTAGTGTTTCTAAAACCTGGCTGTTCTTCAAAATCACCTGGGAGCTTTTCAAAATACAGATTCCGACATTCCTCCCCCAGACCTACTTTAAGATTCAATTATAAAATAAACATTCCCCAGGTAGTGATTCTGATAAATTGTCCAGGTGGGTAATGACTGCTGTAGACAATGGGGAGCCACTGAGGGTTTTAAGCATGGGAGTATGTGATCATGTTTGTGTATTTATATGCCAAAGACTTATCCCAGTACATATAAAAGACCTTTAAACACAACAAGGGAAATATCACAAATCATTAAACAGAGTTGGAAAAATTAGCTATTTAAAAAAATCATACATCAGAATAAACTTTAGATTGAGTCAAGAGTTTAAATTAGTACCATAGGGCCTCCTATACAAAAAGTGGAGTCCTAGTGGTATAGTGGTTAAGAGCCTGGCTACTAACCAACAGGTCAGCAGATCAAATCCACCAGTCACTCCTTGGAAACCCTATGGGGCAGGTCTACTGTGTCCTATAGGGTCGCTATGAGTTGGAACCGACTCAACGGCACCTAACAACAACAACATACAAAAAGTACTAGAAAAAAAGTTTTACACAGAAAAAACTATAAACAATATTAAGACAAACGAGCAAGCTGAGAAAAATCTGTCAAAAATACAGGAATCCTTAACACATAAAGAGTTCAAACAAGTGATAAAACTATTACCATATTTTTTGCAAACAACATGCCTATGTAAATAATGTGTCCACATATATAATGCTCATAGCACACCTAGGAAAGTAATACGTGAGGGAGTTGTGCGGTTGCCAAAAATCATATCAGTATTTGCATAAAATACAGTAAGACTCCTTAAGGAAAATGGACAAAGGAAATGATTTGGTAACACAGGGAACAAATATATATACATATATATGTATTTGCATCCTCAATAGTAATCAAAGAAATGAAAATGAAAATATATCATTTTTCAGCTTCCAAATTAGTAAATATTTCAGCTTCCAAATTAGCAAAAAAAAGGTAATAATACTTTCTTCTGGCAGCAGTACAGTGAAAAAGGCCATTCTTCACACATTGCTGGCAACTAAGCTGGCACTGCATAATTAAAAACTAACCTTTTGCTATCGAGTCAACTGTGACTCATGGTGACCCCATGTGTCACAGAATAGAACTGCTCCGTGGGGTATCCTTGATTGTAATCTTAATGGAGGAGCCATGGTGGCGTAGTGGTTAAAAGCTTGGCTGCTAATCAAAAGGTCGGCAGTCTGAATCCACCAGCTGCTCCTTGGAAACCTTATGGGGCAATTCTACTCTTCCTATAGGGTCGCTATGAGTTGAAATCAACTCGACGGCAACGTTTTTAATCTTAATGGAAGCAGATTGCTAGGCCTTTCTTCTGTGGTACTGCTGTGTGGGTTTGAATCACCAACCTTTAGGTTAGCAGTTTAGCGCAAACCACTTGTGCCACCTACGGAAACCCTGGTGGCACAGTGGTTAAGAGCTACAGCTGCTAACCAAAAGGCTGGCAGTTCAAGCCCACCAGGTGCTCCTTGGAACCTTTATGGGACTGTTCTACTCTGTCCTATAGGGTCGCTATGAGTCAGAATTGACTCGACGGCAACCAGTAGAAACCTTATGAAAAATCAGGAGCCTTAGAAAAGCTAGTACCCTTATACCAAGTAATTCCATTTCCAGGAACTACTCTAAGGAAACAATAAGAGGTGCAGATCAAATGTAAAACTTGAAACAACATAATGATTCTTAAAAGGGAATTTTTAAATAAATCATAATAGTGCTAAAAATATTATGCAACCATTAAAATATGAGGCTTTTAAAAATGTTTAATAATATAATTCTTACAAAATGTCAGCTAAGAAAAACAAGTTACAAAACTGTACACAGAACATGACTCCATATTTGCAAAAATAAAAAACAAGACTCCCTCCTC